AGTCACTGTTTCCCGAAACCAAACCCAAGGGCCAAGGCACAGACTTGGGCTCCACATGCCATCCTGGTGGAGTCTCCACTCCAGAGCCGGTCATCGGCCAGGTCGGGGACAGCTGAGCTCTGCAGCCCCAGGGTCCCTCTTTTCCCAGGAGCAGGCCCAGGACCCTGACGGCAGAGTCCACTGGAAGCACCTGCTCAGATCCAGCCTTCACCTGAGTTCATTGTATCGGACTTGCCTCTGCTTTGCCCTGCCTTCCTCCCCCTCCACACCTCCCGCCCAACAGTACCTGAATCTGCATGCGCAGCCCCCACATCCTGCACCCTCGCCTTTCTGGCCACTCAGCCCTTGAGGTGAACATTAGAAAATATATTCTGATTCTAAAATACAGTGTCAGCATTTTACAGTGTGTATCAAAAGTGCGTCTGTCATGTCAAAAGGAGTCCACTAACACGAGGTGGGGGTGGGGGACCCAGCCCTGTGGGGGACACCCCCATCTGGTGGGCTGCCCCCTCCCCCAGCCAGAACCCCTGCTCAGCTGGGAGGGGTTTTCTTGGGGGAAGAAAACTCAGTCTTCTCTCGGAGCAAGCTGGTTCCACAGGAACGCTGGCTGCAGGCTTCTCCTCCGCACGCTGGTCACGGGTCAGTCGCTGCCTGGGCTGCAAACAGCACAGGAGACCGTGAGAACCTGGGAGGCCCTGGCCCACGTCTGGGGAGCAGGCGTGTCTGCGCACACACGTGACACGGAATGACAGACAGACAGGCAGAGCAGCAGAGCAGAAGGCGGAGGCAATGCGGCAGCTGTGGCGGGGGGACCCTCGGCTTCCAGGCCTCAGGGGTGCTTGGCCCCACTCTCCCCCTACCCCTGCCACTTCTAGGAAGTTCGCCAGGCACATCCTGGTCCCTAAACTGGGTCCCTGCTCTGAGAGGAAGAGGCCTGAGCAGACCACTCTGGGGTCCAGTTCTGGCCCTGCCCTAGCTTCCCTGAGCGACCTGGTAGCACTCTCAGCCTCCATGAGTCTTAATAGTTCATCTAAAACCAGGGGGATCATAGGCCCCGCTCCCGAGGCTTCAGTGATGGTAATAGGAAATGTGGGTTCAGACAGGAGCGTGGAAGGCCTGTGCACAGCCACGGGCACCGGAAGCTGCGAGGAGAGTGGGTCCCCTACCTCTGCGTGGCCTGGGCAGAGGCGCCACACCCAGCGCTCAGCCTGCCTGGGCCCAGCAGGCCCTGTGGCCTGTACACAGGACCCGCTGAGCATCCCCCGGGTGGGTCTTCATTCTTCCCTGAGAGCTGCCTGCCTCTTCCTTCTACCCCCAGACCAGGGGGAGGGGAAGCTCATGGGCTCTGCTCTGAAGCTGGGGGAGGGCCCAGGCCGACAGACACCTGCGGAAAGCAATGCCCCGCCCCTATGCACACCTCTCTGTCCCCCAAGACACCCCTTCTCCAAACAGCTGGAGCCCCTGGGGGTGGCCCGGGGAGCCCACGGGAGCTGCCCGAGAGCAAAGGCTCTGACCCCGCACTGAGGGGTTCTGGCGCTGACACTTACAGCTGCGGCTCCCTGGGCAGGTCCCTCAGGTCCCTCAGCTTCGATTCCTCGTCTGTAAAATGGGGGCGGATACCTTCATAGGGTTGTTGTGTGGATCAAAGAAGATGCTTACAATGCCTGGAGCATAGTAGGTACTCAACAGTGTTAACCATAAGGACACAGAAAGGAAAGAGGGGAAAACCCTACAAGATGGTGGCAGGGAAAGGACTGCTGAGACCTTGGCTCTGAGCCCTCCGTGACCAGGTGAGGCCACTGGGCTGGGAAGCAACTCACAAGACCAGACGCGGGCCTTCCGCCCACGGTCCAGGGCCCCCACAGGGCGTCTCATCACTAAGTGCTCACATGGGGAGGACTCAAAGGGCTGAATGGCTGAGGCCCATTTCACGTGGCCCTGGGCAGCCTCCCCAGGACCTGCCTCCTCTCCATCCCAAAGTGCTCAAGTCACTGAAGGGGCGCACCCGTGACACGGGACGTACTAGGCTTGGCTCAGACGCCAATTCTGTGTGGCATGGAGGGAGCCCTCATCCGTTCGCTGGGCCTCAGTTTCCTCATCTGTAAACTGGACTTTTCCATCCTCCAGTTCTTCGACTTCTTTGGCCAAAGCCCAGTGTGGGCCCATCTAACTCTCCCTTCCCAGCCTCCCTCCGCCTCTGGCCAGCCCAGCGGCCTGCACTGGGCCCGTGGGGCATTCTCTGGCCTGCGGTTTAGCTCTTGAGATTTCTAAGCGCCAGGGCCTTGGGTCTTACAGTCTCTATTGTATCGGAACCACTGAGGATGGAGTTTCCCCAAACCATCAGTCCCCCCCTTGCCTACCCGTCCAGGGCGGCCTCCCCAGCGGCCGCTTTGCCAAAGGAAGGAAGCATGGGCGGGCGCACAGCAATCATCTCAGCAGCAGGGGTGAGGGGCGGGCATGCTCAGCACTAGGCCAGGGGCACGCCAGGCGAGGCTCTTACTTGGAAGGTGTTAGACAAAGGTGTAGTGAAGTCCGTTGCTTAAGGGGGGGTAAGGTGGCACCGTCCTGGAGGACAGGGGGCCTTTAGGCGGGAGGAGGGCCAGCTGCTGCGCTAGACGGGCACAGGAATTAAGCGGTGCGTTAGGCTCCTCGTCTGCTCCTGCAGCACAGACGCCCCACGCGGCAGGGCTGGCTGGGGGGCACAGGCCTCACGGCCCACCATTAATGGCCTGGCCTCAGGGGGCCACATCCATGGGTCTGGCTGGGATCGACCTACGGATCCGGATATGTCTCTGGGATGGGGAGAGGGAGCAAGAGGGAGGAAAGGCTATGGCAAAGGCGGCCACTCAGCGGGGAGGTGAGGGGGCCCTGAGTGAGCAGGTGTTAGCTCTGGGGCCTGCTGGTGGTAAGGAAGTGGGGGTGGGGGGAGTGGAGGG